TGTCAAAAAAAGTTTTTAACGTCATACTCTTGACCTCATCACCACCTTTGTCTTCGGGTATTTGTGTGGGACCAGGCACTACAGCAGGAGCAGTGCCACAGACTCAGAGGACCCGGGCCCTGGGCTGGCTCTCCCGCTCACTGGCTGAATGACCTTGGGCAAGTCTCTCTCCTCCACTCAGGGTCTCATTGCCACACCTGTGATGAGGGGGTTAGTCTGGATCAGAGATCTCCGGACTCTGTCGGTCATGCATCCACAGAAATAACAAAATCTGGAGCACACACCCATCATATACACACATTCACTTATAAACCCTAGACCTTTACTAATACATACACATGCAAAAGAAAAGATTAAGTCAAAAATTACATTCCATTTTTTAAAAATAAATTCTCCTTTATTTTATATAAGAAAATTTCCTCCTCCCTCTCACAATTTCATTATTTGCTTATAATTAATAGCGACAGTGTCAGGGAAAGTCGTAGAACTGGATGTGCTTCATTACTCTTTGAAATCTTGCTTTAACCCTTTGAGATAGAGCCATTTAGAGGTCTGGTTCTAGTTGAGTTTGTGTTTAATGGCTGTCATAGTTGCTCCATAGAGAAGAGATGAATCATTGCCTTTATTAAATTGTGATGCTCATTTTCAATCCCATTCACCAGTTAAAGGCTCTTAATTGAAATTAAAAGAGCTTTCTTCCCTTATGTCAGTCAGTGGCTCTTACAGCTAATTGGAAAACATTACTGCATTTTTATATTTTTAACAAATGGACCCAAAATCCAATTTCATTTGGATCGTTTTCAAAGAGATTAGAAATATCTGTTTCTAATATTTCCACGGATGCAGATAGAAGCAGCTTTAAAGGTGACACCATGTGTTCTCAACCACAAAAACCTCATTTTCAAAACATTCTCTCTAAAACAAGAGTTTCTTCGGAAAAACAAGTGCTTTATCACTCCTTGTTAAAACTTTACCTTGAAGAGTCAGAAGAATTGGAGTCTTTTGGTGGATGTCTGTGAGGTCGCCAACTGCCAACAGTCACTTGTCATCATCATGTTCAGCAAATTTGGAATGCTTGTCTTTTTGTACAAGAACAAATCCTCTTTAAATTTGATGGCTATTTTAAGTGCTCTGCCAAGAGATAACTAGCAAACCCCTATGTGTTTCAAAAGACTTTCATAGTCACTTTCCTTCTGATTCCAAATCACTTTATAAGTTTTACTGTATTTTGAACTCTTAAAAAAAAATAACCACACCAATGCATCCTGCAGCTCTTCATGTACTTCTGGATGTAAATTCTTGACCAGAGTAGCCAGCAGGAAATTCTGCAGGGAATAGATTCACATGCATCACCATTCCTGCACCCTTACCCAGAATCCTTTATCATCAGGAAGCAGCCACTCCATGAGTGATTGCACTCAGACAAATTTTCCCATAAATGGTGTCTTTATTAAGGGGGTAATGTACTGTTTGGTCCACATCACCTGTTTCCTTTAGTGGCTCACAAAACTTGTGGTTCTTCATATATTTCTTTATTGAAACCGAATCTGGGGAAAACCACATTAGAAGCAGCTGTACTTTTCTTCAACTATGTAGCAAATTTCCCACCGTGTGAAATTTGTTCTGATGCATATTTGTGTGCACCTTCAGCAAGGTTGTCTCTGCATCTTCCAGCAGAGTCTGTGGTCACCATGTTGTGTTCGTGTCCTGTTCTTGCTACAAGCAAGTACCACACCAACAGCCCCCTTCTCAATCTCTGTAAAACAAAAGGGGTGTGTGTGTGTGTGTGTGTGTAGGTGAATAACAGTCACGTGACACAGGTCTAATGGGGAGTGAATTGACTTCCCGGTAATCATTCCCCTCTCCTCCATCACTCCCAGCAAAACCAAGTAGTAGGGGCAGCCCCTCAGGAAGGGAAGATGGGTATCTCATTCTCTGGTTGGATGGATGCTTAGGCAGTGAGTTGCTGATCTGCCTTGCACCTGTCTGAGTGCAGGAAAAGAGAACTGGAGCTGGGACTCCTCATTATGTCTGATTGGATTCTCGTTGTTTCTGCCTCATAGAGAAGGATTCGCATTTTAAGCACGAGAGGTGTCTGCCCTGACATTTTCTTGTTCACTTGCATTTGCATTGTAAGCATTATCTTCAGTTGTGGTTTCCTTGCAGGAATCTTGTTAAGCCGCCTATCCATTTGTGAGAGTTTAATTTAGTTAAAATTTGGCAAAGTAATCTGTAAAGCCACTTAGCTAGTGCACGTGACCTGGAACACAGCACGGTAGACAGCTCTTATCAGGATTCATTCGGAGGCGAGCAACCAAGCCTTTCCAGGGGGTGTGGAGGTAGAAGGATGAAGGAAACGGGAGCTAGTTTGGAGGTCCTAGCAGGGCAGCTGGGATTCTCCTGGACCCTGGCCTACTCCTGAAACATACAGAAGTGTGTAGATGAGATTAACCCTGTCACCTGAGAATCTTATTTGCAATGCAGATTCCTAAGTGTATTGACTTGCTAAGGCTGTTGTAACCAAGTACCACAACTCTGTAGATGAAACAGCAGAAATGTTCTGTCTCCTAGTTCTGGAGGCTGGAAGCCTGAGATCAGGGTGTCTGCAGGGTGGGTTCCCTCTGAGGGCTGTGAGGAAGAACCTTTTCCGTGCCTCACCTAGATTCTGGTGGTTTGCTGACAATCTGTGGCGTTCCCTGGCTTGTAGATGTTTCACCCCGATCTCTGCCTTCATCTTCACGTGGTGTTCTCCCTGAGCGTGTGTCTCTGGGTCCACATTTCCCCTTTGATAAGGACATCAGTCATACTGACATGGGGCTCACTCCACTTCATGATGCCCTCATCTTCACTAATCACATCTACAATTACCCTATTTCCAAATGAGGTCACATTCTGCGGTCCTGGGGGTTAGTACTTCAACATATAAATTTGGAGGAGATGCAATTCAGCCCACAATGCTGGGCTACACCCTAGACCTTCTAAAACAGGATCTCTGAGAGTGGGAGTTACAATCCGTGTTTCTGACAAGGACCTCAGATAACTTACATGGTTATGTGAGGTGATTCGGAATGTCCTCCGTCCCACCTTAAATACATAGAACAATAAATTAAACCATAGATTTGATTGATTGATTAATTGATTGCAGGGGAGGTAACTACGCTTATTTGTTTATTTTTATTTTTTAACTTTTTTTTCTGTTTGTTTATTTATTCAGTGGAGGTACTGGGGATTGAACTCAGGACCTCAGGCATGCTAAGCACACACTCTACCTCTGAGCTATACTCTCCCGCAACCATAGAGTTTTAAATGCAGCTGAGTTCAAACAAAATGAAAGAGAAATTTTCATGGCCCCAAAACGGAGACATCAAGACCAGAGAGCGAAGCATTGGCTGGTACTGGGGAAGCCCTGAGGACTGTGAGGCAAGATCAGAGGCCTAGAGAGGATGCGACTGGGGTTCAAATGTTCATGACAGAGGTGATGGGGCCGTGTTTGCTAAGGAAATAATCCTTTTGCATGAAGCCTGGAACCTCAAAGATAGACTTTGTCAGTGAAAGGGGACTAGAAAAATCAACTAAGATTTCTTTCAACTAATTAAAAATTAGAAAGATTGAGGAACTGCTGTGTGAATTCACAGAATCCAATAACTTTCTCAGCTGAGATGCGTCTAAGGAAGTGGACTTTTGGTTGGTGAGGAGGGAAGGATCAGGGCTCATTTTGGAACACTGGAGCAAAGATGGGATCAGGCAAGGCCTCCAGCAGGCAGGGTGAGTTTAGAACAGGCATAGGCTGGGCCGCTGAGCAGCTGTGGGCCAAGGAGTCCCAGTAGGTGTGGGTGGATTAGAGACAGAGAAAGCAGGAGGAGGAGGGTGCCAAAGATGAACCTGCTGCTTTTAAAGAATTCTAAGCTTGTTCTATGCCTTAAATTCCCCTTAGATCTGCCCATCCCCTCCAGCTCACAGCCTGCCCATTCCTGGGAGCTGGAGGGAGAGGAGGAAGGCAGCCTCGGTGAGCTGCCTCTGAGCTGGTTGACAAGTGGCTGGCATGTTTGCTCGGAGCCTGGTGGCGCCAGCGTCAGAAAGGCCCTCTCATGAGTGACCCCTGCCAGGCCCAGTTTAGGGGGATCAAGGTTTCTAAAATCACGTGACCTTTACTTATTTGGGACTCAAATTTGAGAACTTGTTGGTTTAAAAATGAAAATTGCCTTTTATACCTAATTTATCAGTTATGCTAAATATAACTGTAATTTGTATCGAGAAAAAATGAAAATTGCTGTGCAAATGGTAATATCTGTAGTTATATAACAACTGATGGCTACCATTTGTTGAGTGTTTTTAAAACTTTTTAATTTTTATTTTGTTACTGAGGTATAGTCAGTTACAATGTATTAATGTCTGGTGTACAGCATAATGTTTCAATCATACTGTGCAACTTTAAACCTATCCTGTTTAATGCTCACAACAAACCTGTTGGGTCAATATAGTATTATCCCACCCTATCTTGTCAGTGAGAAGTCTTAGACTCTGAAGATTATGTAAAATTTGCCTAAACTAAGATCACTCACTAGGAAATAGTGAAGCCAGGACTTATACCCAAGTCTGTTTGACTTCTACATCCATATGTTGACAGTGGCTAGCTCTGGAGAGTGGATTATAAAGAATTTTTATCCCATTCTTTATACTTCGGGGGAGTTTTATGTACCAAATTAATAAGCATAAAAAAGAATAGCACAAACAAAAAAAAATCAGCCCTTAGAAGGTACGTGCAGGAGGAAGTGACAGTGGGGAGAGTGATGCTAACCGGGGCCCTTGTCCCGGGCACTCTCCATCATGTCCATAGTCCTGGCTCTTTGACCCAACATCTGCTCCAATATTTAGGTTGTTGCTCTTGCTTTCTTCTCAAACCCAGGACACTGTGCTTCTGACAGATGAGCGAGGCCCAGGGAGGCGTGAACCTGACATTGATAAGCCTCCTTCCTCTGTCTCCTCCTCCGCACCCACAGGTGAACCCTTTCAGAGACCGAATCTGCAGAGTGTTCTCCCACAACGATGTTTTCTCCTTTGAGGATGTGCTGGGCATGGCATCTGTGTTCAGCGAGCAGGCCTGCCCCAGCCTGAAGATCGAGTACGCCTTCCGCATCTACGGTGGGTGTTGTGGGGGACCAAGTGGGGTTGGGGCAGCACCACAGAGCAAATGCCACACTGGGAATCCATCAACATCAGTGCATTGGTGCGATGGTGTTAATTGGGGTTTCCTTGAATATTTATGGGTGTTTTGCTTCTTAAAGACTGTAGTTTTTTAAAAAATGGTTGAGAACTACTGCTCCAATGGATTGATGCCCTCTCCTCCATGCCACGGGGTCACTGGTGTTGGTATTTCTTGGTAGTACTGTGGGCAGGCCAGAGAGAGAGAGAACTGTATCTGGGTATGAAGGAGTCATGCTTGTTTTGAAGAAGTTAAGAGATTTCAACACTGGAACTAACGTCATCACTAAATGGCTGAGAAATCTTGGCCAAATCATTTCACTTTTCTGGGCCTGTTTCCTCATCTTTAAAATGAAGAGGTTGAGAGAGGTCATCTCTGAGGTCTTGTGACACTTTTTGCCTCCGATTTTGTCTGGGAAGCTGTACCCTCAGCTCAAGTTGGCTCTTCAGTATCCTTATAAACCCTTAGTACATCTGGGATCCTAGAATTCTCTAAAAGAAAGAAGCAAAGAAATCTTGAGAAGCCTTCAAACGGACCACGCGCAAGGCTTTAAACTCATCATGACAACTCCGTGGCCCCAGAGGACTTGTACATTTAGGCTTGTATGGTTTAGCATCTCACCTGCCTTCCTTTCCTGCCAGCTCCACCCAACCCGCTACCCCATCTCCACATGGTGGACAGCATCTTATTCCTACCCCACCCAAGTGAATTTGGATAGAATGGAGTGGAGGAGGCTTAAGCTAGATGGACCTATGAGGGTTCAGTGTTCTCATTTGTAAAAAGGGCATAACAATATTTTTGTATCCGATCTGTCCTCAGTCTTAGTATCCAGTAAACTCAAATGACATCACAGATTCCCCTGCAGAGAATAGCTGAGTAGGCTTCTGTCGTACTGTCACTTCCACAGATAGCAACTGTAAACTCTGAAACATAGGTATAAAAATCAACTACCTCATGGCAGGAGAAAGCTTCCAGGGGCAGAGAGCTGACACATGAAAAAAGGAAATGGTACTAGGAAAAGAAAAAAAAAGCCCACTTTAGTTTTTGACTTTTTTTAGGCCTGAATGTGGGCTTTAGTGAGTAGCATCATGGGACTGATAAAAACTCTAAACTCTTTCTGACTTGAAGAATTAGAGAGTTTTAGTACTTTCCCCCTGAAAAGTAAAAAGAAGGGAAAGTCCATGAAAAAAAGGCAAAGGGAGGGGGCCAAGTTTCGTGTATAAACTATGCACAAATCTCATTTTAACCTCTAAACTATATATACCAGGACAGACTCAAAACACTTCAGGTAAGGGTAAAAGAACCTAACTGGAAATTTGAGCTCTCACTGCATTTTAACAAGGTCACTGTGTGACAGGGTTTGCAGTTTAAGTCCAACCAATTGCCCACTAGAATAAAAAATACTCAGTACTCTTTGGAAAAATATAACAGAATCCAGAGTTTCCACATAAAGCATTTATAATGTCTAAGATACAATCCAAAATTATTCAACATACAAAAATTTTCAAAGCAGTAAAATGATACATTTTCAAGAATGGGGACCGTCTCTGACATGACCCAGATGTTGGAATTAGCTGATAAGTATCTTCAAACAGTTATTATAACCACACCCAATGATGTAAAACAAAATATGCTCCTAATGAGTGAAAAGATAAGAATTCTCAGCAGAGAAGTAGAAACTATAAGAAAGAAATGGCAAATTCAGGGCCAGGCTGGGTGCTCTTTTCTTAGCCCAGGGTCTTCAGGTTCTAAGTAATAGGAACTTACCCACATAAAAGGCAACTCATGAAGAACAGCAGTATATTAATTTTCCATTGTTGTATAATAAGTCACTACTGATGTACTAGCTTTAGATGACATATATTTATAATCTCACAGTTTCTGTGGGTTAGGAGTCTGGTCAGCACTTAGTCAGTCCTCATCTTAGGGTCTCACAAAGCTGTATTCTCATCTGGAGGATGTTTGACAGGGGAGGGATCCACTTACAAGCTCACTCCAGTTGTTGGCAGAATTCATTTCCTTGTGTCTATAGAACTTAGAGTCCTGGCTTCTCACTGGCTATCAGCTGGAGGCTGCCCTCAAGTTTCCAGAGCATGACCCGTGCACTTTGTCACATGGGCCTCCCAACATGGCCACTTGCTTCTTCAAAGACAGTAGGAGTCCCTTGAGCCAGTATGCTGGCAATGTAACATTTTGTAATAGGAAATGACATCCCATCACTGCTGCCAAATTCTATTGCTTAGAAGTCCCCATCCCCACTAAAGGGGTGTGTGGCTTATTTGAAATGGTGGAGAGGTGCAGATCAAGGGAGGAGGAGGGCACTAGAGTTTGTCCACCATGAGCAGTGCAGAACCCATGATAGAAGTGAAGCAGGCCTCCTGAGGGCCAGGATGCAGCTGGAAAGTGGTCAGGAATTGAGGTAGCTACTTTCTCCTTTTCCCTCTATGGCTGCCTCAACTCTCATCTCTGCTTCTCTCTGTGCACCTTCTCTTTCTGCAAATCAGATTTTTATGCTTCTGTGCCCATGGGTCAAAGATTGCTTCCCTGGCCTCCATGTGGCCTTCGGGCTTCACTCTGACTAACTAGCCACAAGCATCTTGTTTCTCACTTTCCCCTTCTCAGGAGATGCTGATTGGCTGAACCAAACCAGGGATCCAGCTGCCCCGGAGTTAGGTGACCAGCCTTGTCCAGTCAACCACAACCAAGAAGAAGCAGAGTCACATAAACAAACATATCTCCAGAGGCCAACCACTGGGGGTGGGCAGGCTGCTCAGAGATGGTAGAGGGTACCAAAAGATGTTCCAAAAGATGTCTGCCTCAACTGTCTTTCCATGGTTTCTAGAGCTAAACAAACAAAATCCTTCAGGGAACCAGAGGGACAGAAGGTTCTCTTGCCCCTCAAGACACAAGAGCTTAATTGTGTTCAGCTCAGAAATGGGGGGAAATGCATTCCTATCCAGAGAGGTCAGACAGAGTCAACAGATCAGATCAGTCAGACAGATCAAGGAGCAGACACTCCCTGTCCCCCACACTGTCCTTGTATCCTCCTCCTCTGCCCTCTCTCCAGGGCCCTTCCAGCATTTTCCTTCCTCCTTGAGCTCCAGTACAAAAAACAAAAAGCAGAGCGCCTTTATGCAAATAAGCCATGCAAATAGATGCCTAGGGACTCATAAACTCCAAGGCTTCATCAGAGAGACTCAGGAAAATCTGAATTATC